CTATTTTCAAATATACATTTTGATCTTGTGATTGCTATTTTTATTAATTTTTTTTATTTTTCAGTTTATATTATAATAAAATAAAAAATTTACAGAAGATTATGCATTCTATGAAGAATAAAAAAAAAAGCTTTTATTTTTTTTCATTGTAATAATTCATTACTTCTCTCTCATGTTTAAAAAAGTATGAATAATTAGTTAACAAAAACTTCTATTTTTTTTTAATATACTTTCGTTCATTAATTAAAAAACAATATAATAAAAACACAAAATATAGAATTTACGCGTAATAAAGAAAATTATTAAAAAATAAAATGCATTTTCCTTTTTCACCAATATATTAAAATTCTCGTTTTCTTATGGAGAATTCTCACATGACAAAGAAACGAAGTTCAATTCAAGAACACACGATGAATCGAGAAACCTGATTCGCTTTGAGCTCCTTCAAGTTAATTAAATTCATCGATCTATTGATGAAGTTTCGAATTCGAATTTGTGGAGTTTATAATGAAATATAGAGAGATATAAATGAAACGAAGACTGTATATAAAAAAATAATTAGCATAATATTAAAAAAAGGATTGGGTTAGTATCAAATGTCAAATATAATTTCAACAACAAAGGATGAAATTCGATACGTGGATTAAACATCAAAGCTGAAATTGTATATTGTACGATGTTAACTCGTCTATTATTATTATATGAGTTTAAATCAATTATGCGATTGTTAATAATCTACATTTGATATGATAATGGATTTGCGTGATATTTCTCTTTTGATCAGTACTAATAATTGATGAGAATGTAATTGATAAAAGTTTTCATTTATCGAAAATAATATAATTTCCTCCCTGTTACCTCTTTGATCAGCATTCGTATTCATGAAATAGATTTAATTTTTAATTAGTTCTGTTAATCGGAAATTGTATTGTCGACAGACAATGGAATTTGTAATTTCATTCAATTTATTAATTATTTATTTTAAATTATATCTATTATTTATATTCAAATGTATCGTTTAAATCTTCGATTCTTAAAATTATTAATTAATTTCGCGTCACAAAAGATTGAAATTTAATTAAATAATTGCGAATTTCTCGTAATAAAATTAAAAAGATTAAATTTTGAACAAATGAATTTGCTATTCAAGATTTCTATATTGTTTCTCTTTTACAGAAAATTAATGAAATATAAAATGCGCTTGATTAACCATATTTACACTTTCATGATGCTTTCACGAAGATACGTGCTCATTCTCTCAACAATTATCATTTATTCTCACGTGCACGTTCACTTGATTATTTAAATACAATAAGAGGCAAAAGTTTAATACATTATTCTAATTGAAAGTTTACTTGTCTTAAGCTTTCTAAAAGGTAAGACGAATCTTGAAATAGCAAAAATATTCTATTATATATTGTAATAAAAAGTTTGAACAATTTATATCGCGATTGAATTGGCATCGAATGATCGAAGATTCTATATAAAATTTCGAAAATATTTATTTTTTTTTTTTAAATCAAATCAATGATATGTAAAATTATTCCTTCCTATCACTCAATTCTCGATACAAGTCCTTGAATCCATTTTGGAATATTTTAAATATTATTCTTTCCTCGAGGAAAATTCCACTTTCGAATATTTTAAATATAATTACGTTCCACTAGCAAAATTCCATTTCTAAATATTTTAAATATCAATTCGAATATCATTGTTATACATTAATTCACGATTTTATAATAATAAAGAGAAAAAATATTATCAACGAATTTTTTCAAAAATTTTCAAGTCTTTTTAAAAATTAAAAAAAAAATTCCGCGCGAACAAAATATGTCTAAAGATATTATAGCGATCTAAGAAATCAAAAAACATCATTAATCATTCGAAGATAAGATATCTCCTAGATTAGTCCACAATCATCATTTATTGATCACTATCGATCTAAATAAAATAATTCAAACCGAACCCATACATCATTCTTTCGTAACAATCTTTACTTCTCGTTCATCATCATCACCTTAATTGACATCTTCAGGACATGTATCTTTCATACGTGATTGCCATACTTCTACAGCGTGCGAACGCCATCTATTGATTCGCCAAGCTTAAATAATTGCCATCTCGTTTCGCAAATGAGCGCACGCAAGTAGCATCGAAAGAATTCTCGAATCTTTGAGTCGTCGAACGAGAGTGGAAGCGTCGAATTTCAACCAATTATCGATGTTACTATCGACACGGAACATCGTGTTTATTAGCGGAAAAATTTCGTCGAGGGATTCCAGGTAGCGATCTTTCGAAACTGTGAAAACGTTCCGCCGAGGCGTGCAATTAGCGAGACCGCGGTGGTAATCGTCGAGTAACGTTGCTCAATTTAAATAATCCCGACTGTATCCATCTCCTGGAACGAGCGATAAATCGGTCGACTCTCGAGAATCGTAGAAGCGTGGTGGTGGAAACATCGGACGGAAGATTCGAAGAGAGTTAGTTGGAAAGCGAGACTTAACCTCAATTGGCTTAGGGTTATAGGTTACGTACATGATTTTCGAGTTGAAATAACTATAATACCTTACGATAGTATATTTTTCTCGTGTTGTTTCCAATCACGAGAATGGAAAATTAAACGATAGATACACTTGAGAAGATACAGATTGAGAAGAATTATTTTCGAAACGATAAAATAATTATAATATCGTATAATTTTGTGGAAATGAAAAGTCAGGTGAGAAAGAGTTTCCAACAGTGTGAATCGAAAAGTGAGATTTAACCTCAATTACTGTACCGATTATGTAAATATCCTCAACATTATTTAAAATAAATACAAATAAACCGTTCGAAATAACAAGCAAGAATCTCATTTCACGCGTTTATTTACTACTAATTTTTTCCCTCATATCTATGACTCTACGTTATCTTCAAACAATAATTAAACCAAAACAATTAAAGACAACGAGATCCCATCAAATATCCTTCTATAACACGATATAAAAGTAAGCATAAACAGCAACGGCGTCTAGAAGTGTACCGACAAATCAAGCAGGAATTATCCGGGGCGCGATTCTCGAAACGCGTACACGTTTCCCCTAGCCGTCCCTCTTGACGGCGCATAAATCCGCCACTCGTAGACGGAAAGAATCGCCGCAGTAAACCGCGAACTACCACCACGGGGGTAGAGAAGTCTGAATCCAGAAACCTCTGTCTGGGGAAACGTCGGAACAAACAACTAGAACGCGGACTCCACGGCTCAGAACGAGAGAGAAAGAGAGACAGAGACAGAGAGAGAGAGAGAGAGAGGGAGTAGGCATTCTCTCTGCCGGATATAAATCCGCCCACTCGATGTCACGAACGAGCCACCACCGGGAAAAACAGAAGGAAGGGGAGAGGAGGGAGGGAGTGGTGGGAGTAAAGTTAGCAAAAGGGATAGGCTTTTTGGATATCAGCCAGAAAACTGGGACGTGGGAGCAGAGTGGAACTCCGCGGTAGGGATCGTTTCAAAGGACCGGCGCGCATTGCGAAAAACTGCGGCCTCCGATCATCGTCCTTACACGAGCGGAACAGGAAGCTGCTACGATTCCGGGCAGCCAGCGCGCCGGTTCAAAGAGGAATTTCTGAGCGGATCTGACCGAGCTGCTTCGTTATGAGAGATGTACGAATGGATGAACTGTGCTGCTCGCTCCAAGGGATTTTCTCTTCCCTTTTTTTTTTTTTTTCTGTTTTTATCCTTTCTCTCTCTCTCTCTTTCTCTTTTTCTCCCTGTTGTTTATTGGAATGGGTTTATTGGGAATATCGTCGATTCTGCCGAGATCTATTGTGCGGAAGAGAGTTGTGTGCGGAGGAGGAGTGGAAGTTTGTCGGGGTGAATGGATGCGAAGCTGATGGGTTTGCTTAGAGTTCTAGTACGCAGTATGGGAGAAGGCATTTTTGCATTGTGATTTTATCGGGAAAGGAAGTTTTTGCATTCTCTTTGTTTGTTAATATCGTATCGAAAAACTTTTAAACTGTGTGTGTGCAATTCGTTATCGGTGTGATTTTATTATTAATTTGTTTTTAATCCAATTTTAATTAAAACGGTTGGATCGTGATTGTTTTTTTATGCGACCTGTTTCAAAGTTACGCTCGATGACGCTTAAATTTGCTTAAATTTTTAACCAAAAGGAGGAGTATTATTATTCTAAATTAATTTCTATTCGAAATTTATAACTCGAATATGTATTATATTTGTATACGGAAGTTCCAGTACAGTTCCAAGCACAAACACCGTATTTCATGCGTGAAAACTCCCCGAATTTCTCCGCAAGCTCAATAAAACCAAGTGGTTCGTAACAAGTACACTTCTCGGTACAATGGTATCCACAAGTGAAATTTGAGAGTTCAAGTACATACCCTGCATACATTTGGAAAAAGAAGTACATCACGATGCACTCGAGTTTCACTGGAGATGTAAAGTATTCCAATTTGCAACACGAATTTCGAAATATTTTTCTCTGAAAACGTTTTTCTTCGTACAATGATAAAAATTTCCATTACATAACGAGTGTCGTCGTGTCAATCTATTTATATACAGATTGACAAAAAATAATACTAAAAAATAATGAAAATATAATAAAATATAATCCTTTTGTTATTTTATTTATTATTTAAAAACTCCAAATCAATCAAAATGCTTCGTCGAAATATTTACGCGTTCAATTTTCCAATCATATCAACAATTCCCCTTCCATATCGATAAAACGGACAAAGTCAATTAACATTCAGGATCGAAATCATTCCCTAATCAATCTAATCAGCCCTGCACCGATCTCAATCGCAACAGATTTTGGCGGTCCATTAAAATGTGCATCGGGTTTACATCGATCGAGAGTTTCAGAGACACACGTTCGAGAATCAGAGGCAATTCGAAACGGAATTAAGACCGTAATCCCGGTTTCCACGCGGGCAAATTGATCTCTGGCCAATGTCTGTCCTCTCCTCGAGTCACATTCGGCCTCGACCTTCACCACCCACTGGGAAACTAATTAATCTCATTTGACAGGGCTATCGGGAAGAATATTGGGAACGAGGTTAAAATATGAATACACGTGACACCATGAGATGATTTATCGTGATGTTTCCCGCATCGAATCATCCTGGCTGCACCGTAGTACGCCGTTATGCTCAATCTGACCACCTGTTCGGTGGATGTACACCGTTATCCTGCATTACGGAACGAATTGCTCGGTATTTTGCTAGTAACCACGAAGTAAGAATGGAGAAAAATGGTCGAAAATGAGTTTGCAAAATTGGAAACGAATGGAAATTTTATTTAGAATCGAATGGAAAGAATATTTTTCACGTTTGAAGAAAAGTTGATGTGATCCGATAGAACTGTTTGTTCTTTAAAAGATGAAAAGCTCAATTTTAATGATCATTTTCTTTTTCAACGATCGATAATGACAAAAATTTATACGCGTAGGATAAACAGAGATATCTAAAGGCATTAAAATTTAATTGGATTAACATTTATATAAAAATCGACATAAACTTTCCAATTAATATAATAATACGTTGGTAAACAGAGATATTAAAGGTATTAAAATTTAATCGAATTGGATTAATATTTACGTAAAAATGGACATAAACTTTCAAATTAATACGCTGTTAAGGAATAATGATGGGTAATAGTTGGATGATTGAGCGTGTAATATCTTGATTGTCTTGCGTAATAAAGTGGAACGATAATATTTGTGATGGCGATAATAATATTTGTTAAATTACATTCTATAATAATTGTCGAATATCATATAATCATGTACGTATTTTTTTTTATTATTTATTACAATTTTTTTAAATTTATACATTGCAGTATTCGTATGAAATAATTTATCAATAAGAATTATCACTTAAGTGGCATATTTTCCGATAAGCAAGATAAAAATATGGCTCATCGAGTGGATTAAACTGATTGCAAAATTCGAAACTGTTTAAACAATTATAAAAAATATTACGTAATTAATTTATTCTCGGTTAATCAATCTATTAATGTTTAAGAATTGGAAGAACGATAGAGATAATTATGAATAAAAATAAGACAGAATTGATGATATTCATTAATGATAGAATTTTTTTCTATCTATAAATTAAAAATAAATTAAAATATTTCCAATTAATACTTTTTTTTAGCTTAGAGAATATTCAAAATTTTAAATATGAATTAATTTATGCAAATATAAATATTGCATAAATTATAATATATAAAATAATAAGATATATATTCGATATATTTCTTCTTTTCATTGAAAGAATTTCACAAACAACTTTTATATGAAAATTAATAAAAATAATGAGAACGATATTATCATTATCCTATTCATTCCATTTATCTATTTTTTTTTTTTAAATTTTTGACAAATTTTATGAAATATATTAAGTTAAATACTTAATCACATTCTGCATGTGACTCTGTAAAATGCAAATAACAATTTATGACGCTGCTACATAAATATTAACCTAGTAATTATAAAATGACATTAGCATAAATTAAAAATGGAGCGAATCATGGGAACGATTCTTCGAGAATAATTTTATCATATTTAATAATTAACATCGCGATTCGATTTACATTAATCGATGTAATTGCATTTGCAATAATGAAAAATAAAAATAAATTTCGAAAAATATTGTGAAATATTAATATTACAATTGATATGACAGTGATATGATTTTTTTTTTTTTTTTCATTATTGCAGGTGACACGACGATATTAAGTACGAGATCGA